TTGGCGAGTTATTTGAAGCTTCCAAAAATGAAATATACTAGATATTAAAAAAACTATATACACGGTGTTCCATTTTAAATAACGCATTGCAATATCTTCTCTTGGAAGCACTTTCAAGAAAAGGTGAACATTCGATGGTGACATCGACCTTGGCACAAAGTTCAACCGTAGAGGTCATTTGAAGGTCAACTTGGATTTCTGACACCGGAAGTGTATAGAGCGGAAAATTTTACGTTCAGATATGTCTTTATGTCATGGGTCAAAGTGACCCTAAAGAGTCAAATAAAGATTTGAAAAAATTTTCTGATATTTTTCATGACAGCACTTACGACGAAAGATTCTGCTTGAAAGTTTTATGGTTTGATGGCATCTTACGATGATGACCTTGACCATGCCCTAGAGGTCAAACTTGAAAGTTCTTTGAAGGTCAAATCAAGTTACGAAATAGGAGAACCCTGTTTGCAGCCCCATTAAATTAAGGCAAGGTCGTTGTGGCACAACCAGTCAAGACAAGACCGCTATGACACGGCCAGTCAATGCAAGGTCACTATGACCAGGCCAGCCGGATCGATGTGATCTCGCCTTGACTGGCTGGGCCATAACGATCGTGCTGCAAACATGATTCTCCTAATTCGTTCGTAGCTTGATTTGACCCTCAAAGAACCTTCAAGCTTGACCTCTAGGTTATGGTCAAGGTCCTAATCCCATGATCCCATCAAGTTATAAAACTTTAAACCAGAACCCTTCGTCGTAAGTGCAAAATATTATTCAAAACCTTATTTGACCTTAGGGCCCTATTTGAACTTTAGGATCACTTTGACCTGTAACATAAGGACATATCTGAACGTAAACTTTTCCGCTTTATCCATTTCCGGTGTCTATCGTGTCTCTAAAAATCCAAGTTGACCTTCAAATGACTTTTACGGTTGACCTTGGATGGAAATGAACCATGCGTTCGCAGATGTCGAAACACAGAATCAAACGTTTGAAGATTCCAAACTTTAAAGGTCCATAACTCGATAACCATGGAGAATTGAACCCATGTATATTATAACATTTTTATTTAGAATGATCTCAGGGACTTGTTCCTTAAGTTTGCAACACTCTGTATACATACACACTTCAATTGTAACTTAGATAAGAATTCCATCACACAATTATTTGCAAATGTTGCATTATCTTAATGAAGCATTAAAATATTCTTAGGATTAGTTATTTACAGAGGCCATTATACCCATTCATTACCCTCGTGCTCTGTTATTTCGATGAAAAGTTTTAAGGTATTTAAGATCTTTAGGAAAGTTCTAAATCTGGAAAAATGAGTAAGGGTATATGGAAATACTTGTGCAGACAAAGCGAGCCGTTAAACTAATCGCTGTTGTCTTTTCGTCTTTCCATAAAATTGATGTGTTTAATTTGCATTACTGCCAGGTAAAAATAATTTAAATATATCCTGTTAGAATTATTAAAGTCAACATCGAACAATAGGATGAAATAGAGTCAGTAAATTTTACATAAATAAATTAATAGGTAATGTCAATGTTATTAGATACCTAGAACCTGGTGACCTGAGGCTTTGTTTTACTGACACAATAAATTCATTTGGCAATTTTCGTATTAGCTGTATGTGCTGGGTAAAAAGATTATTTTTAATGCTATTTAAATGCCCAACAAATAACGAAATTTAAAATAAATGGGGAAAATAATATTACTTACTTTTATTAATATTCAAACCTGAAATTAAATATTCCTCCCAATTTATTTACGTCCTGGGAAAAAAATCTAAAAGTATTTCACTTCACTTGAAGCAATCGTAAGTAGTACTTAAAAGACATAAAAAATTGTTTCATAAACTTTGTACGAATTTATATGGATCAGATGAGATGTGGCGAATTCGATAAGTGAAGTTCCCATTACAGAAATATTAAGTACAACGTATGATATTAAAATACATTATTATTATTATTAACCTGCCAAATTTACCTCATATCCTATTCTCTGACAACAATAAAAGTATGTATTACATGTAAATCAGTATCCTTCCGACTAAATTAAAAAGATTCTCAGGTCTGTGTGCTCTGAAGAGTAAAATCAGACCTCACTATCTCTCAGAAGGCATAAATTAATCTGAAACCCTTAAAATCAGTCATTAATTGACTTCGATATAAAAAATTTGCCCCACTGCACCCCTATATTTGTAATGGAATGACTCAAAGGTAATCACCTTTGTTTGAAGTACTAGAAGTGCTTTTTAATTAATATTTCCCAGTTATTATAAAAAATTGTAACAAAAATTAGACAGCAAATGTAGATACCCTCTATACTTAATTAAACCGGTTTCAAATGAAAAACGAAACCTGGAAAATTTATTCCACGTTTCACTGTTGAGTGTGTCTCCATTATTAAAGGTTCAAATTGAGTCAGAAGCCAGAACTTTAGAAAAGTAAATTTTTATTATTTTAATTTAACTTTTTTCAATTTCAGATCTAATCGACAAGGTTCAGTTAGATGGGAAAATGCAGATAAAACCTTATGTCAAATTTAAACCAAAACCGAAAACAGGTACTTTATTTTTTGTAAAGGATCATAAAACAATCCAAAATCTTTTTTCAAACATAGTTAATACCATTAACGCTCTGTTTAAAAAGAACCTCGCACAAAATCAATGGAAAATGAGTACCAGTCGATTTTGCTGAAATTGCAGTAAGTTATGGTTTTTCACTTTCTGATCAAGAGTTGTCATGGACCCAAAGTGATATAATTTCAGAGATAAAGACGAAGTTTCAAGTTGATGGATTCAAAAACTGAGGCATGCAATGAATTTTGACCAGTAGGTACAATGCTTTTGGGATCGGTGAACCTGAAGTCACCTGGAGGTCAGGTAAAGGTCGTTTCAAGGTCAAATTGAAGAAAAGACTTGTAGAATTTTACAGATAATATTAAGAAGATAATTAACCGTGTTACAGATATATTCTTCTGGATTGAAATGTTGGTTCCGGTACAAAACTCTACAAGACCTGCAGTGACCTTGTAATGATCTTGATTAATGGTCAAGAACAAGTAAACAATGAGTTGATTATAAAATACTCAATTTTCAGGGATTTTATTCTTGAATTATAGGGAGTAGAAGCAACGAGAGAAAGGATGCGTGTCTACTAAATCTCATTAATCGGTATTCCTGAATGGTGTTCTATTGAGTAATGATAGAAGAATTGTTCCCTATTTCATATACTGATATTTTCGGGGAACAGGCAGGGATCATTAAACCTAACCTTATATTTTTTGACATGTTTCACAAATGACGAATTCCGCAATCTGTCTGTGATATCTGTAGTTACTGTTTTGTGGTGATATCCATCGAGAACTATGAGGAAACATTCGTATAATTTGTGTTTATTTGAAGGATTATACACGGATAAAATAATAATAGAATAAAATGGATCTGCCCTCATTTTCTCTAGTGTAGCTGGGTATTAACTTTCCAGTATACATTTGTTTTTTACCCTCAATATATTCTATTAAGTTCTTTTTGTTTAGAACTTACTGAATTTAGCGTCGGTTTTTTATTAATTTCCATTTGCTTTCCTTTTTAGACTACACCTAACACTGCTAAATAAATAACAATAACTCTAAACAAAGTAGCACTTATTTCATGACTAGCTCATCACTAGTTTTCATTCTACTGCCTATTTACTGCTTTCTGATTGGTCGGTACATTTGACAACATTGTTCCTCGTTCTTTACTTTCATAGCTCGATTCCTTTGTGTCAAGAATACAGTATGAATTTTGTGATATAACAGTAGTAGAGCGAAATTAGGGAACGTTCCCCAGGAAGCATTCTATTCTCTCACCGTCAAGCTATCCCTGAATCCAGGTTCAGCGACCTCAAAAGCATACATACTTATAGGTGAACGGCCTTTTCTTTACTTTGACCTTGAAATGATCTTGACGTGACCTAAATGTGACCTTGTAGGGCTAAGCTATCCCCGAATTCAGTTCCCCCCCAAAAAAACTTATATACGCACTGGTTGAAATTCAATACAAGCCTTTTCTTTAGTTTGATCTTGAATTGATCTTGAATTGACTTGAAGGTGACCTTCAGGGTTACGCTATCTCCAGATTCAGATTATGCGAGCTCAAAAACCTATACACTCACTCGTTAAAATTCAATACAAGTCTTTTCTTCAGTTTGACCTTGAAACGACCTTTACCTGACCTCCAGGTAACCTTAGATGATAGTTAAGCTATCCCCGAATCAGGTTCAGGTTCAGCGATCACAAAAGCATTGTACCTACTGGTCAAAATTCATTACGTGCCTCAGTATTTGAATCCATCAACTTGAAACTTCGTGAAGCTTCCTCAGGCCTACAGCCAAAATCACATACTTCCCTCTCTTTATCTCTGAAATTATTCATAGGATCACTTTGGGCCCACGACAACTTACTGCAATTTCAGCAAAATCGACTGGGACCCATTTTCCACTGATTTTGTGACGGGTTTTTAAAAAAATCAAAGGCAATATATTTTCAAGTTTCACTGCAACATTTCGAAATCAAAATTAAACTAGCTTTTAGAAAACCTGGATAGGATTGAAAACATCAACAATTTTGATTTTTTTTAATATTAACCTAATTTAAATTAATTCTAGATATTCTTTATTGAAGAAATTGAAGGAAAATTTTTAGAATTAATTTGCATTAGTTTAACGCCCTATAAAAAATACATGAAAAAAAAGGTTCCTCAAACAAATAATTTATGTATTTCAACAAATTAAAATTTCTCTGAAATCCAAACTTTGTTTTAAAAGATAAAGTATGTCTTCGATGTGAATTAAATTGTAGTATTTTGTGTAGTATACGTAGATTTTGAACGTAAACGCAAAATATAATGCCTATTTAAATAATTTGCAAGCTCTTTTCAGCTACGGATAAAAGCGAGATGCTGTAAAATTGAGCAGGGGAGCGACAAGCGGAAAGCGGAACTAATTGGTGGTACTTACATCCATCCATTGCCCACCTGCATCGGAGGAGTATCTGGATAACCTGGATGAGACCTGGAAACCAAAATAATGTTTTCAGAAGGATGCAGGAGAACGCGTTGAATACCACTTTGGGTATTATTCAAGTTTTAGTTAAAAAAAAAAACATTAAGTATACCCAAACGTTTTAATGCTCAATAAAGTCTGTAATTTGTACTAAGGGTGTAGTCAATAATATTCCTTTTTCACTAAATGAACACGAAATGTTAATACAGGGTGGTCTGTTTAAAACTCTCCAGCCCCCTGGTTTTCAAGATATTTGAACATGAAAGTGTTGCAAAAAAAGAACGAAAGTTATTACAATTATGTTCTTTAATCGTATATTAAGGTCCCTTAGTTAAAATGGTACATACTATACATTATTATATCTAGCTATCTGTTTCTTTACATTTTTATTTTTTCTAAAGAAACGATTGCTTGTTCATTTATAAAAGTTATTTCAAAGGACGATAAGGCATCCATAACGCTCTGTAGATTTAATACAATATTTAATAAAACATTTTTAATTAAAAAAAAAACAAAAAAAATATAAATAACTAAAAAAAATTAAGAAATTCGACGAAAATTAGGTAAAACAGAATCTTCTCGAATTTTTTGAAAATTTGTCTACCCATTATTGATAAAATCTTCACGGTTGTCATTTGTCAAAAATAAGCTTTCTGTGTATACGCATCATTGCCACTGAGATGATTTTGTACCATAGAATTTCTCAGCCAGGTTTTTGTTCTTCTTTTTTTTTAATTTAAAATTCCAGAGCTAAATTCTTTAAATATGAAAATATGGAAATGTATTACTTTTTAACATAAAATTTTATATTTTCAAATTCTTTTGTCAACAAATATTTATATTAATTTATTACAATTGTTTAAAAATAAATAAAGTAGTGTATTAATTTTCAGAATTAAAGTTTAAGTAAATAAAATATTTTATTAAATATTTCCAATCTAATATTTTCTTAGCTTAAGAAAATTTTTGTAATTTTATATTTTTATTTAATTTTATTTTTTTTTATTTATTATTATTTTTTATTTTAATTTTGTATATTTATATTAATTTATTACAATTGTTTTTACAAAAAAGTAGGTATGTAGTGTAATAATTTTCAAGTAAATAAAATATTAAATATTTCCAATCTAATATTTTCTTAGCTTAAGAAAATTTTTGTAATTTTTTCGAATTTCTAAGGGGGGCAGCTGCCCCCTCTGCCCCCCTTGCTGACGTCCTTGCCTAAGTATGTTATAAAAACTTAAATTGACAAAAGTTTAATTAAAAAAATTTAAGTATGTATGTCTTTGGTTATTTGCGTCACCTACGCCACCACAAAGAGCAATGCCAATTGAATTTAAAGCTAAAGATATTTATAAGTATTGTTAACAAAATATTTTTTACAAGCCCTCTCAAATAATCCAGGTTAGGTTCAAATTATGTTCCTTTTATTTGTTATTATAGTACTAGTAAATTCTTACTGTGTACACCAAACTTTTACTACAAGTCCAAATAAATTAATCCAACATAATCAGGTCTGGCGATCTAGGTGGCCACAAACCACACCCCACACTCAACGATACTCTTCAGGTAATGACAGTAACATGTTTATTAAAAAGTATAGACATCCGGAATGCTACAAAATGTTAATCTGGTATGATAGTATGGTGGATTGAATGTTTGGTCACGTTGGACGTGGTAGGGGTAGCTGTTCACTAAAAGTTCTCCAAATAAGACGGTAGCTAATCACTGAGTCCCAGTAAGGCCAACGCTAGTTTCAAGGTTTTCTTCCACTTTATACAGGATTTGTTCTATCCCAAGTGTGGAACCAGATCTAATTCTTCCAGAGTCGACAGGGTTTGAACTAAATTTTCGCTAAACGGCGGGTCTTATCGAAAAGAAATTTTAATTTAACCTGCTCTTACAGAAAGTGTTGCTATTTTTGGGAAATTTTCAGTGGTGTAGAAGTACCGCCTACAAAAACAATGCCGATATCCCTGAACCAAAATTTGAACTGATTTGGAAGCTATAAACCAAAATAGATTTTACAAAAACTCCTGTATTTCGGAAAGAAGCCTTTTCAGACAATGTTCATGTGAATTTTCTTTTACCATTTTTTGGAAACTTTTTACATTTCTTTAATACCATGTTTAGTACCTTAACAACTTATTACTGTGATGCCAATGGTTTTGAAAGTTGAGCATTTTAAACTCAAGTGGTGTTGTAGTAAATTCCCACCGATGATAGTTTTCAGCAATGTTCCGCACTATTCACCAATAAAAATATTAAGTGCCAAATGATTTAAAAATGAGTTGTTTAAAAAATAATTTACTATTAACATTGGTAATGTATCAAGGACTCGGTAGTGCTAGAAGATAGGAAAATATGTAGAATCTAACAGTGTATAGAAGGGTATACATTTTCAAGCTGTAGTGAATGTTCGGTCTAAAGCTCTGGGCGCAGGAGTGGTCCGATCGGACTGATTTTTGTGCTGTTGTGTAGGTTGGACTTTCCTTCGTCGAATAGAAGTGGTTCGGATATTCCACAAATACGGAGGTAGCAATGAAGAGGAAAATGATAAATCTCTATATTTCGGTTATTTTTACAAGACTCTGTCCATGTTTATGTTACGTAAGGCACGTAAGATAGGTGTGGAATTTATGCCTGGGAGTGACAAATCAATATATGGTTTTCAAAGGCAAAGACGGGTAAATTTGAAACAATGGTTTGGCAAAGTGTTGTTGATATGTCAATAAGGGTGTGCAGTTGGGGTGGCTGTAGCGTTTTCAGCGGTTTACAGAGTTGTTTTGTTATTCCAGGGGTAAGTGGTGGAAATATACAGGATGTTCTATAAACTCTATGACAAATTTTGATAGATGATAGCTGGGTTAACTTCAAACATTTTTTCTTATATGAACATAGGTCCCCTGAACGCTTTCAAAATATCTATTGGATAAAATAGAATAATACGAATTTATTAAATGTTTTATTATGTTTAATTAGTATTGCTAATAGTAGTAAAAAATAAAAAATTGTTGGAGATTTTGTGCGGTATTAACTTTTATACTGTTATGACTTTATCCAATAGATATTTTGAAAGCGTCCAGAGCCGTACTCGGGAAAAATTTTAAATGATAGCTAAACACTTTTTAAGCGATTACAATAGTAATATTATCATATAATTCAGAATTAAAAATGGCATTGTAAATATGAAATTTATTTCAAAATTCAAATAAAGCCAGAAAAAAAATTAAACAATTTTGCAAAATTTCGGGGTTTTCCGGATATCTCCGGAAATACCCGGAATTTTAAAACTTTCTAAACGGCATATTGTTAGGTATAAAAAACAAAACTTTTTTCTACAGAAAAAAAATTATTTATTTTATTTATTCACTATTCGACTTACAATTAGATGTTTATAGCAATACTGTACAAAAATAAAGTTTTGGGTCAAATAATGAGACAGTTTTTTTGTATTTTTTCCGTACAATTGAATGATGTAATCAGTTTCTGATTTTTTTTTAAATTTAAACAAATTTATCAGCAATTACTGAAAAATTCATTGTTACAAGTCATTTTTTATTATTTCTGCATTTTTGAGCATGTTTTTGAACTGTGATTACAGATTTTTTTATTCCACCAAAAAGTATATGTATGTTAAAACGAAAAAAATGATCACCAGCAGAACTCTGTACGATGATTTTTCTAAATAGAATTTTTCTTTGAAAAATAAAATTTTAAGACCGGAAAAAATGAATATCCCGGAAACTTCTTGATTTTTTTTATCTAAAAAAATTTGCGGTTATTTAAGACACAGAAAGGTATACTTTCACCAAGTTTCGTCAAAATTAAATTATTATTACGGAAAAGAGAAATAAAAACGAAATAATAATAATAATACATTTATTGCAAAAAAGAAGTATAAACAACATTTTTACAAAAGGAAGGTGTATCAACAAAGTTGATTTACAACACCTTCTGTGTCAAAGAGAACAGATTAAAAACAAACAAATACAATAAATAAGCAATAAAAAAGGACAAGAATGAATACAAAACACAATTGGATATAGTTAAAACCTACATACATCAAAAAGTACCAAGTCAGAAAAAAGTATATTATTTTTTAACATATGTTTAACGGTTGCCACTGACAAATTGTGATACTGGAGGGGTAAATTATTAATAACATAAGAAGCTAAATACGAAAATGAATTTTTAAATTTTTCAGTTTTATGTGAAGGAATACACGCTTTGCTACTCAGTGATCTCAAATTTTTATTATGTGTTTCAGATCTCCATTTTATTTTATCACATAAATATGTAGGATTGTTATTTTTTAAAATATTGAGTATAAAACTGGCAAAATGAATAAGTCTCCTCTCAGACATGCTCAACAAATTGAAGAAACGTAAACATGGAGTTATGTGACTAAAATGTCCCATTCGCAATGAAACGGACGCAACAATTCTGTATTTTTTGCAAACGGTGTTTATTTTCTTGAGAAAGGCAGGGGCCATATATAACATCAGCATAATTCAAATGAGATAAGACTAAAGATTCAGTAAGTAAAATTTTGGTCGGAGGATGTAGATACTTTTTAAAGCATTGCAACTGTTTTAACGATAGAAAAGCTTTCTTACAGATAGCAGTTACATGATTCGAAAAAGTCACAGTAATGAATCACGAGCCAGTCCGGGTCTGTACAACTAAAGAATTTCGAGGAAAGTTTTTGTCGCAAAAAACTTATCACACAGATTACTTTTTGTCCATCAATGTATCGTCACTTTCATGAAAATAATGCAGTTTTCTCAATTAAAAGGTACTTTACACCAAATATGATGAGTGCACCGAATTGCCCTTTTTTAGTCCAAGCATTATAGAGAAATGCTTACAGAAATTATTACCTGGACAAAAAAAATATGACCGTATAGAAAATTAAATTTTAAGTTGAGTTTCTTGTTCTTTAAACTCGATCCAATATGGCGAACATGGTTAAAAAAAATCGCAAAGTTGAAAAAAACGGTTTTTCT